ATACTCAAAAAATGCAAAAAACCTTGTTACACTGAAAAAGAATCCGGTATTCAATGGTTTGCACTACAAAAGAATCCGGTATCCAGAGGGTTAATGGCAATCCATGGTAGATGCAGATCATCATTTAGCTATTGTGATAGTTTAACCTCTGCTCTCATGAACACCACTGGTAGTAAAGAACATGATGGGGGTTCATACCACTTGTGAATTGGTGATGGCTTCAAGGCTTTTCCTACTTTTTATGGCTTCCCTGAAGACACCTGGAGAATTGATAAGGTAGTTATAAATCTCTGGCCATTCTAACTCAGGCCACTGTGTTGGGTCATTAACCCATGCGTCACCAGGTACCTTGTAGGGGCAGTCCTCTAGGCCTAACCCACATACAGTATTCTCATTTTCATTCTACATCGCTCTCTAGCTTCACAATCAAGATTACTGACCTGTTATATGAATATGCCATTGAACAACATTTCTTTAAAAAAAACAATGGGATATTATGAATGTAATAAAATATCATAGCGAAATGAAAGATGATATCGTGCAAGTGAAAATCGTCATCTGTTCGCGATCGCAGGTTTGTTTAATGTTTAGTCCTGCAATTGTTATTCCAGAAGTTGGATTTGACCTCTATAACGTCATCATCGGATGGGAGAATATGCACTCAGGAACTTCTAATGTTCATAAAACCGTAACCAGTGGCTCAATTTTCCAGAAATAAAGTTGTTTTACGATACTGAGAAAGAGTAGCTTTTTGTGCTATTTTTTGGTTTTTTTATATTCAACTTTGTATTTATCATGTGGTGCCTACCTACTAGGCCTATCTATATAGCAGGTGGCCTAGGGCCAAGGTTCCTCTTATTTTCCACAAGGCCTAAGCTACACCACTAGTACTACATGCAGGCTAGGCCTAGTCTAGTGCCTACTGATGTGCCGCTGCCCCGGTGATTGGTTGTGAATGACGTCATCTATACGTCGCAGCCATTCACCAGGGGAAATCCACGCACCCGTGGAAGACCCTATGGGGAACCCCGCACAGAGTGCGGAGGAGAAGAAACTTGAGAAAGAGATACGGACGATAACCTGAAGACATACCTATACTACATATACCTACCACTAGCGAGTGTATTCTACTAGCAAGTGAATGGTAAGTATGTCCACTTTGTCCTGTATAGTATCTCGAGTAGTATAAGAATCTATAGACTCCTAGCAAATCTCTATAGTGGCGACGAGATAAACTTTTTCATTAGTTTTAGCGTGCGGGTTGCGCCGTGGCTGGATGGATTTCCAACAGCCACGCACAGCTCCACCGCTCGCGCCTCATCCAACAGCCTCGGGTAGTGAGACGTTTACGTTTCCTTCTCGACGTATTGCTACCATCTTGGATTTGTATGCTGCTAGGCAGATACGTTTTATTTTCCCAATAGTCAGATTAATTATTTTAGTGGGCAGACATACGGGACAGGGAGTATAGGCTCATGACCTGGTCTGTTCTGCCTACAGACCATGCTCGTGTTCATGGTACAGCGTTTTGTATATTAACGCACTGGGCCTGTGATTCCAGAACGGTTCAACACAGTATGCTCGTGTTCATGCTGGTTACTGGAAAATATGCGACCTTAATATATATTAGCATCTTTATGTGAAGTTAGGTGTAGATAGGATTATATTAATGTTATTATTATTATTTCGTATCGCAACTGGCAGTCGGCAGTTCGATGCACATTTTTAGTTATTTATTAGCTTATTCAATCCGCACCGATCATATTTTTTGATCAGGCTAAATAGTCTGATATTCTTGCTACTGTGAGCCGCATTGTCCGCTTGGTAATACAGTAGGTCATGTTATTTAGGTTAGTCTAGCTATAGTTTTCGGTTATTTTGAAATGTGATCTGTGTCTGGCGTGTGTTAGTTGACAGGGATGGGAAGTTATCAAGTCTTACAGATAATGACCGACAAGAAAACTGAAGAACCCAAGGAGGTAGGTGAGGTGGGCCCAGTCCCCTCACCACCTCCCCGAGTCAGCTACTATGGGGACTGGCCACCAGGCAGGCACTGAAATACCAGCGGCTGGGGAGTCTGGCTCCCACAGGGGACATCTCCCAGCCTTGGAGGCTTTGCAGATAGGGGAGGCCGAGGACCTCCTATTGGCATCACCACCCAGGACCCCTCACTACCCACTCACCGAGCGTCAATGGCCACTCTTTCCTTTGGGGAAAATGTGACCCTGACCAAGTCAGGGCCCCTTGATGACTGTGGGGTTTTCAAGGCCAATGTCCGTCATGGGGAGTGGACCACCACACTCCTTGTGCGGATCAGGGACCGGTGTAAGACCCCCTTAGCCGGGACGCGTGCTGGTACGCCGACGACGTCCTGGGAGGGGCGAGTTGGCCCGCTGTGGTGGTGGCCGGTCCAGACGAGCAGGGAATTTACACCTGCTCGATCCCGTGGCACGCCCCATCGGGTAGACCAACTACCCTGGGGATTGCCCTGAATCACTTTGAGGCCGAACACCAACAGGCTTCAGGTTTTAGAGGGGGAACATCTGTTGCTGGGATGTCCCCGTCGCAGCTACAGCGGTCGGTACTCCTGCGGAAGCTGGCCCCGTGAGCTTTGCCGCCGCAGTGGCTGGTGTTCCCACGGGAACTGCAAGTGCTGCTGCAGCGGTCGCCATTCCTACGGGGACCTGCCCTGCGGTCGCAGCTACGGCAGTCGCAGCGACCATGGATCCCAAGGGGGCTAGTCCTGCATCCTGTGGGGGGAAGGAGGTCCCCAAGTACCGGTGTCCGGTTGCAGCGAGACGTCGCCGTCACGACAACACGTTTCGGTCCACCTGCCAGGTTTCCTGGTGGACCAGATCTATTGGGTCGATCCACCAGTGTTAGCCCAGGCCCGGTGGGATTGCCTCCTGGGATTAATTGATTTGATTCCTACCTTGTGGGGGTTCGGTCGCGAGAGCGGTGTTCTTTAATCAGGAGAGCGCCACCTTCCCCGGCCAAATCTTCACCAAGCGCTTTGTACAGTTCCTGACCCAGGTGGCCACGGCTACCGGGCAGGAACCACCTACTAGCCTGGATGTATTCCCCCTGCGGATGCCGCTGGGGTTATTACATCATACGGCTCTGCTGTTTTTGGCCAGTCAGGCCTTGCGGGTAATACCCGCTGGTCTGTCCTGCCTGAACAGGGCACTGTGGTTGTCTCAGCAGCTTCCTGCCAAGTGCGCGGTGCGCAGGAGACGCAACCGTGACAGCCGCCATTCCGCTTTGCTGGGTGGAGTGTGGCCGCAAGGAATCGGGAAATCGGGGTGTTGCCACGGCAAGGCCTCCGGTGCCGGTTTGGTTGTCTGCTGGCGCAAGCGCAGCAGCGGCTCCGGTGCACCTGGACGCTGCCGATGCCGCAGCAGCATAACGTCTGCTAGCGCGAGTGCAGCAGCTGTCGACGCCTCGTTGGGTCAGACAGCAGTCGTGGGCGGATTCTGGCACCCTCGAGGGGTTGAGGGTTTGTCACCTACTCGGCCACCGGTAATGCTCCGCCCGTGGTTGGGTCTCGGGCTCCACCCAGGCAAGTACCTGTTCAACTACCAGTGGAGGATGAGGTAACAGCAGCGCTGCAAGAGGCGTATAATAGCCACCAACGCCTCCACAGAACGGTCGCGGCGTATAGAAGCTGTGAGAGCCGGGAGCTGACGGTTTGGGTACTGCACTTTGCTCTCGACAATCTGCGGTGCCTGGCCGAGCTCTCAGGCGATCCGCTCTAGCCGCCGGATCGCCTGTAAGTGCTGCTGCGGTGGCCACTGTTCCTGCAGGAACTGGCCCTGCAGTAGTAAGGACCGAAATGGTCGACTGCTAATCGTCTACTGCGCATAACACTTCTGCCCAACAACTTTTGGAAGCGGTGATCTGATTGGATCATGCCGGTGGTAAGCTTTTTTTCGCGCTCGGAATTGTGGGTATTAACGAATCACGCTCACGATCGTTAACTTAAAATATTTTCCGAACTGTTAAAAAAAACCCAACAGAAGTGACTTAATTTAAAGAATGACGTAAGTACATTTAAATGTATTTTTAGGGTATAAGGAGTGAAGCTAACTAAAATTAAGCACCGTAAATCGAAAAATTTAGCTAAAAATGACACGGCGGTTTCATACGCACTATATTGGGACAGTAAGTGTTTACAGCGCGCTTTTCATATATTTACGCACCGTAAGCCCCCAACGAACAAATCGCATCGGATTCCGAGTTCGCGAGCGAGACGAGCTGCTACGTTTCGGTGACTGAATATGTGTTATGTAGTAGAATTCTGCCCATTATACGTGCAGTGCATAAATCTGTTTCAAAATGATGAATTTTAGCGAGAGAAGTTAGGCGAGTCATTAGCGAAAAAAGTAAACAAACAGCGCCCTCAATCTATATTTTGCCGTAGCGCTAAAGTTTGACTTCGTTATCGTCAATTTTCCTGGGAGGTGATGACGGTCGTAAATGAACAAGCAGAGTCTGTTCTAGCATTGGCCCGACAACTTCTTTTGATTTTTCAAAATTTTCGTATAAAAAAGGCTACTATTTCCGCTCATCTAGCAGAGTTTATGTGATGCGATATACATTATAGACTAGGCCTGCAGTAAATCGACCAGCCTAGAGGCATAGAGATTTCATTGTACTGTATCAATATATTTGGATAAGTTGTATATTGTCTGTACTTTGTCTTTTTTACATTGCTAATAAAATAAAATTGTATAATGTAATAGTTACTTCTCTACTGATAATGGATTCTCATAGCCTTGCATTGGATAATATTTGTTGTCTTTGTGGTAAAAAAATATCAAGAAAATTTGAAGTTTCTAAAATAAAAAATAGTATACTTAGATTTCTTAATATTGATCTCTCGCTTGAAAATAAAGACATTCACCCAAAATTTATCTGTAAAAAATACTAAGGTACTAAGTTATCACAATCATCCCTCTATACTTTCAAATTACAAATGTACACACCACAAGCAATAATGTTTCACATGCTATTTATTTACTGAACAAAGCAAACCAGGAAAGAAAATCACAGTGAAATTAAATGAATTATTTCTGAAAGTAAGCAATAACACAATTGATTCAAAATTCATAGTACACAATCAGATAAATCCTGAAAATTATATGTGTACAATATGTAGCTGCATTTTATCACTAGACAATTTAGTATCAAAGTACGCACATCATTATTGCTCGGTTTGTTTGACAAAATTATTTAATACACTTCGTGTTAATAAACGTTCTTGTCTTGTGTGCACTTATCCAATGTCAGTGCATGATTTCAATTCGGCATCACAAATCGTACAACTTAAATGTACAAGTTGCGACAACAGTGTATCGTACACTGATAGTAGAGCACATGTTTGCAGCAAAAAATGAACTGAGCGAGAGCAAGCATTCTCTGCCTGTAATGCGGTCTCTGTGTTGGAGGAAATTTTAAAAAAACACCAACATGTTCCTCAGAAAATCCAGACCTTTGCAGAAAAGATTGTTTATGACAGTCTGAAGAAAAACAAGGAGATGCTGATTTCCACCAATGGACGGGTAATTGCATTACTATTTTGTATAATCCATTTTTCAAAATATATAATAAATGACAAAATCATCACACAGTTTCACATGAAAATGTAATTTTCTACACAGCCAACTAAAGTTGCCATCATCCCAAACTGTAAAGTTTCTAGCGATGTAGCTTCAGCAAAAACACTAGCAAGGCGAGCATCCAAGCTAAGAACACTGAACGAAACTGTCAGCAATGGGAATGGCGAAGCTGGAGCTTTCCATCAACAGGTATACACAGCAAAACATATGAGCCCAGCTGTTATGAAAGCCGCGAACTTATCTGGAAAATACAGGTTGGATGTAGACACTTCATTGGCCATGGTATCTGACTGTCATCTTGCTTGGCAGCAACTGAGAAAGCTGAGAAGGTAAGCGAAAACAAAAAAAATAAATACCTTTTTACACTGAAAAATATTACTTTTGATTTTTTTACACTTGGCAGGTACATGGAGAAAGGAGTAATTCCTTCAGAAAGGCAGCTTCGAAAGCGACAAGATGACCTCATAGGGGATTATTTTGAATCATCCATGGAAATGCTGTGTTTTAAATCAGACACCTCTCCAGATGGAATTGAAATAAAAAAAGCACCAATGGTAAAAATGAGGAACATCAAAAATGTTGAGTTTTCATATTTTGAAGAACATGAAAGGTAATTTTATTATTTTATTAAAATATTTATTTCTATTATATATGTGTATGTATGTGTGCATGTATACTTATGGGTATATGTAATTACTGGATAGAAATTATAAATTAAAAATTAAAAACTAAAAGAATTTGATTACAAATATAATACTGTATTATATAATACAGTATTTGTTTCTTTCAATGAAATATTCTATTTTTTGTACACAGACTGGGAAATCTATGTCCCAATGAGGGTGAGCTATGGCTAAAATTTGGAGGAGACAAGGGTGGCGGCAGTAGTATTGGTATTGGTATTTGATGCACCAGTATTGGTTTTTGATGCACCGAACATGATGTTCAACATCAAGGAAACCCTTCCAGGAGTCGCTAGTCAGGTTGTAGCCCTACATGGACAGATGTGGCGGTAACAATCATTCATTGTATTTATATTGTAATTATTTTTTGAAATATTTGAAAACTTTGATTTTCATTATATAAACTAATATTTACACTTTTCTATTTCAGTGGCTACACCATCAGGGTATTTTGTTTTGGGGACTACGAGTACCTCACAAAACTATATGGAATCAATGGCCAAATGGTACGTTTGCTGAGGAATAAGCATGTTATATTATGTATTATAATTACAATTGTTAAACTTGCATTTAATTTATTTTTCTTAGGTTTCATGGTTTGCTATCTGTTTTAATAAATTCTATTTTATCAATATTATTTACATTGTAACTCGGCATTGTTGCCTTTTCTGTGAAAAAACAAAACAGGAAATGCAAATAAGAAGCCCAGTAGGGAAACCAAGAACACTTAGTTCCATAGAAGAATGCTATCAGGTCTTTTTAGACAATGGTGCTGACAAAACCACAGCCAAGAGTGTATCAATGAGTGTCATTAGCAATCCTCTTGTTGCAATTGAGGTAGACCATGTAAGTATTTTATCAATCCTAGTTATTATTGTATGTCTGCTTTTTGATTATTAAAGATTAATAAATTCAACTTACCACAATTTAATATGAAAGTAAATCATCAACTGTATTACTACTGTATTGGGCTGTGAAAAAAAAAATAGATTATAAATATCCTATTTATTTATGGTGTTATAGGTATCTGTGCCAAGTCTGCACATTTCTTTGGGCGTCTTTAAAAAGCTGTTCGACATGTATGAGTCCGAAGCTCATGAAATAGACTGTCATATGTATGAATGCAGAAAAAAAAACCTCAGACGAGGATGACGAGTTTGGAAGCTCTGTCTTCGAAAAGCTTATCCAAAACAACATCAAAACACAATTAGAATGCAAAAACAAAATTGAAAAGAAAGAACAGAAACTGGCGGAAGCAGAAGAAGAAATGCCTCTCATTTATCTGCAATCTAATGGACTAATCTTTCAAAACATGGACAAGATTGTCAAATTAAGAGAGGATATTGAAACATTGGTGAGAATACAGCATTCAAATATAATTCAAGTTTAGTTAAATTTAAATAAACAAGCAAATGAAGATAATGATGTAAATGTAAAAAGAAATCACAAAACTAAAATAAGTTTTTATTCTGTACTGTCTTATCTTCCTAACAGACAAAAGCCATGAATGAGGGATTACCATTTGGCACTGGGCCATTAGCAGTGTACATAGAGAAAGTTCTACAAAAGCACAAAATAGAGAGACAAGCATATCATGGCCGATCTTTTATCGGGAACCATGTGCACAAATGCTGTCAGGTATATTTTTAATTTTTTTTAATAACAATATACAGTTAATAATAAAAAAATTAAATTTACATTTACCATAAGAGCGAGGGTGTGATAAGGGTACTGACCTGATAAATGCCCCAGTTGCAGAATTCAAGCTACAGGAGACTAAACTACCATTAGGTCAAATAAAAACTATTTCAGAAAAAGTAAAATCGCTTGTCAGCAAATATGGACGACTACTAAATAAATTTGCATAAATAAATAACATCAATCATTCAAAGCCAATGTCAAATGAGGAAATAACTGTTATTGGTAAGTTATTGTATGTACTGTATTTAAATTGTTACCTTACCTAATATCCTATAGTTTCCAAGGCGGCCATTTGTTTTGGCTTGTTTCTGCTGGCATCTAAGAATATAAACCTGCTGCAAAGCTGTCCGTCTTCATGTTGCTTTTGCAGGCTTTGTTATCGGTCTAAATTAAAATTTAAAAAAAAAGAATTCTCATTTATAACATTTTTTCCCTTTTTTAAGGTGAATCCATACAAGACTTTATTGATGAATATAGAAATTCAGGAAATTCAATGACAATATCACCAAAGCTTCATATGCTTGAAGAGTATGTGATTCCACAACTTAAGGCTTGGAAATTTGGGATGGGACTAATCAGTGAGCAAGGTGGCGAGTCCATACATGCATCTTTTAATCAACGAAAAAGAACAGTTGCAGGAATGCATGATCGACTTGCTCAGTTAACTTCAATGATGCGCTCGCATACATTGCTAACCCAGCCCAACATTCTCCAGAAAATTGCACAACCTAAAAGAAGAAAATTTGGTAGGTATAACTGTTTATTATTACTTCTTTATGAAATATTTTAAAAAAAATAAGAATATAGTGTCATAACAGTGTTATTTATTTTTTTCTTTCAGAGAAAGAAGAATAAATCTGAAAAACAATGGAATTTTTCAATGAAAGTGTGCTAAGAAATTCTTCAAAATAATAATTTTATAATCAAAAATCTACATTTGACTACCATAATAAAACTGCAATACATTGTAAGTGACACTGATATAAAGGAACAATATATATACATTACCTACTTCACTATCATTCTGTAGACTTCTCAGACTATAGGTTTAAACCCAAATTAAATCCTAACCAAAACAGTTGTCAGAGAGATTTTTTAAATATGTGTTCTCAAGTTCACGGGGAATCACATGAACTATGTGGCCATGTTCACTAAAATTGCAAAAAAAAAATTATTGTCTCACTAAAATCAGGAAATTAACATGTTGAATTTTCCCAGGATTTTGGTTGAAAAATCGTAAAAATTCACATACTCACACACAACTAGGGAAGCATGACCATCGTGACTGCTTCGTGTTTTTCAACTGTTCAGCATCTCTTCTTCGATAATATCATGAATATTCATTATTTTTCTAACGTCTAAGGC